GGCAAAAAAGAAGAAGAGTTGACTCTTCTCAAACAACTGTTCAAACAACTGTTAGGGTGTCACCATCTTTATAGATTGAATATTACTGGAATTATTCCCGAGTTACCAGAGTACTGCCAGGGTTTCTCTCCCAACCTCATCGAGTTAACGTTGAAGCAATGTCAACTTAGAGAAGACCCTATGCCAACATTGGAGAGGCTACCTAACCTACAATATCTCGATTTAGGTGAGGATGCCTTTGTGGGGGAAAAAATGGTTTGCTCCGTTAATGGTTTCCCCCAACTCAAAACCCTATCTCTCTTTGCCTTGCAGCACTTAAAAGAGTGGGAGGTGGAAAAAGGAGCCATGCCCAATCTCTCTGCTTTAGAAATTGTTTTTTGCCGAGGACTAGAAATGGTTCCGGAGGGACTGAGATTCATTGCTACCCTCCAAGAATTTACAATTAAGAATGGGAGCGAAAATTTCAATAACAAGCTTCGAGGGGTCAATGGTGAAGAAGGAGAAGATTTTTACAAAGTGCGACATGTGTCTTCTCTCTACATTAGGTAAGTTTCTTAATTCTGGATAATTCTTTCTTTCACAAGAGACGAAACAACTGTTGTGCCTCTTATCATTTCTTTCACATCCCCCTCATTAATTCCCATCATAAAATTTGTTGATTGTATATCTCTCTGCTTTTTTGCTGTTATATTGGTTTAGGGGTGGACAAATTATCATAGAATCAAAAAAAACTAAACCAAACCGAAATTATTGGGTTGGGTTGGTTTTTTTTTTTTTTTTTGAATACATTGGTTTAGCTTTGAGTGTTCAATTCTATAATTCAATAGGATTGGATTAATTTTTGGTTTAGGTTCTATTTATATCGAACAAACCTGATGATCAAATCTATATATTTATTTATATTAAGATTCGATCAATATCGGCATGTTTTTACCTAATTAGTCTATTCTAATGGACTTGATTGCAACTAATCATTTCTCACTATTTATTTTTGATTTTCAGTACATATTGAGAAGCATCAAAAGAAGAATGGGAAGTGGAAGAAGAAAATACTGGAAGGTAGAATTGGAATTTACGGTACTTAATTTTATTTTATTAGTTGTGTTACTGGATTTGATTTATTTTGGTTGTATTTAAACTTGAGTTGGACTTCACTATACTATTCACAACTATTGGCTTGTATTAAACAATATTTATTTTATATTTGTGTTAAATTTAAATATTAAAGACTTGTTATTTTAATTATTTGGTTCAAGTGCATGATTCATTTAAATATGTTCTAAATTTCATATCAACTCAAACCAAACTGACCCAATCACACCCCTCTATTGGTTCATATCCATAAAAAAATTTAATACGAGACTTGAGTAATAAAAGCTTAGATTTTTTATAATAGATCCCTTATAATAGGATTTTTTTTTATAAGAAAACAAATGAGCCCATAAGTTTTATTGTGAGGAGGACAACACGTGCAACAAACACAATCCAATTACTGAATAGCTAATTTTATTTTTTAACTTTTAAATACTAATTTTTTATTCAAAATTTTATTTTTTGAAAGTAATTTTTGGAATGCTCTCATCAAAATTCATTTAGTAAGAGTTCGTATTGAATATGCAATATTAAAGAAAATGTTATTTATTTTCGAACAATAAAATTTTTATTATCTATGAATAGAGAAATTTCATATTAAAAATTAAAAATCCAGAATTAAGTGCTACAAAATGAAAAACCATATTTCATTGTTTGTAGATTAGAAAGAAATTTCACTGTCTATTGACATGAAATAGAAAATTTTAAACTAGAGGGACAAAATGCAAAATTAGCATTGGTTGCTAAAAAAATTGCGATAAAAAGAGGCATCACGCTCACTATCAAGTACAAACTTTTGTTATGTTTGTTTTTTTTTTTTTTCTTTTTTGTTTTATTTCATCCAATGCTCATTAATTTGGGTTTTATAAAGAGTATCATTAAAGAGCTAAACGAAATTTTTTATATTTTTTTGAATTACCAATGCACATGCAATACATATGCCATATGACCCTTCTAACAAATAAATTAGCACTCAATTGAACGTAGTAAATCAAAATTTCAAATGTTGACAATTTGTTATGTGTGGACATTTTGGTTAAGATCATGAAAGGAGGATATTTATTTTTTTAAACTATATTTGGATCATAAACTGAAGTGGTATTTAGAAAAGACAAAATGAAAAACTCGATACAATGCATTTCACTTATTTTCATCCACCTTTTTCTCTTTCCTCTTTTATAGGAATTAACCTTCTAAAATTTTACATATCTCCTCAACTTCATGAGAAAATTTTCACTAAAATTTTACAATTTAGTGATACAATCACATATGTGCTTCTTTTTCCAGATAAGAAAGGTAAAGCAGCTCCTGGAGGTAACACAATTGTAAGTAAATTGAAAATTATCCCAAAGTTATGATTTAGTCACACATTGAGACTAAAACGAACAAACTATCAATTCAAATAGGTTCCCAAAATTCATGGTATAATATCTAAATGATCAATGTACATATGTTGGGCAGCCATTTGCTAGTTACTTGTTACACCTGTGAGCAAATTAGTATAATCACAACGGTGATAGAACTCTGATCTTTACTTCGAGAACCCCATGTGCTTCATTTGCTTAATGTCAAACCTCGATTCCTTTGAACACCATCTATTACTCGGAGTCAGAATCTGATAGTGGCATCTGGTAAGCATCTTTTGGTTCCGTGTCAGTGATGGAAGGAGGACAATCTTGGTTTGACACCGCTCTCTTCTTGCGTCTCTGATTTGGTCTATCTTCATCATCCTGGAAATTTTCATATGGTGATTGAGCAAACATATAGAAAGCAGAGGAAAATAAAAATGCATAAAACAAATACTGTTTAACGTACAAAATGCTTATGCAAGTCCCACTGCAGTGAATTGGGCAGCATGTATGCATAGCAAAATTAAGATCACTGATATTTATGTTTGTTAGTTGTAATTATGTGTTAAAATAGGAATTAATATTGGAGATTGATATCAACTGTAAATTGTCTTTTCCAAGTATAAATAAAAAGTCGCAAAATAGATTTGAATTGTTTTTCTTTCGTTTCTATGAGCTTTGTATGTTTGAAAAGGGTTCTATTTCAGTTGTGTGTGGTTCTTCCCCAATGGGTGTGAGTTTCTTCCTCAATGGAAGCGAGTTTCTTACAGGTTTCTTCCTTGGGAGTGGAGAACCGCATTTTTGAGTAAGAAACGTCAACTAAGAAGGAAATTTTTACTACTAAGTGAAAAGCTCGATAACTTAAGCTAAAAATTCCGATTTACCTTTGATGAGGGCAAGCTTCCATCTCTACAATGAAATTTTTTGACGCGTTAAGGAGAAAAGTATTTACATCATATTTAATTTTCAATATTTGTTTACTATTTTGATATAAAATTCAAAATTCTAATGCCTCAAACGCCTTGAGGTTTACGCCTCTCCTCACGAGGGAAAAAAATGCCTCACATTACGCATTTGCCTTAAAAACTTCAGTAATTAGTAGTAAGAGGTGCCAAAAGGAGACATGTTGGCAGTGGTGCTAAAAATTATTCAGATTTCGAGGTTGGGAACTATATAACACATAACACCAGCAGCCTCCAGGTAGTTCAACACAAAGTGAAACACAATTTCCTTTTCCAAATGAATCAATGTCTTTGAAAAATGGTGGGGGATGACTGTTGAAGAAAATTATTAGAGAATATCAATGAAGGAGCACAATAATACAGGAATGATTGGTGGTGAGGGAAACAAGTTCAACTAGCAAGCAATAGATTCCAAGCGAAGGAACAATCATGCAAGAATGATTCGTGGGGAGGGAGACAGAAAAATCCTTCTTTAGGGTTTTTTTTTTCCTTTGTTTTTTCTTTTTTAGTGTCTGTGAGTTTGGGGTGGGGTGGGGTGTTGCTTTTTCAATGAGTGACAAGTCTAGAAATTGCAAAGCTGGAAAATGTGAATTGTTCAATGAGATGATTCAGAGATATGCTCAAAGCTATCACTCAGTACAATAATCTGTTAGGGCCAGAAATAAAATGACAATGAATAGGCAATAACATGGCCGTCAAGAAAATAAAATAAAATAAAAAAACAAAACAAAAAAGGCTGCTACCCACAAGGTATATGTGAATGCATTTGAACTAAATGAATGGAAACTTTGAAGAATATGTTGTGAATGGGATTTATACCACATCCCACCAATGTGAACGGAAGCACACAACGCACACACCAAAGAGAAAAACAATTAGACATAGATTTTGTGGTTTGGCACCAATAGCCAACATCCACGGGAGAGAGATTCAACTATGAATAAAAAATAGATAATACATGTGAGATGGTTAACACGCTCAAAACCCATATCACTACTAGAATCCCATGCTCAAGAGTAGGTGAGCCATTGATCACTCTAGTGCCTTGTCGGTATTTTTTGTCACCCCTTACATCGCTATTTTATCCTCCTCTTAATCTCACCAAAACATAGTCCCCGTGACTATTTATAATAGTCTATCCACAAAAAACCTAGTTCCATAAAATTAGGTAACCAAAACCTACACATTGGGTTTCCCAATAGATTCAGACTCTACTATCCTAACCCAAATACATGCTTAAACTAATCTAACAAATGTATGGGACTACATGTATCACATGGGTGGACCAATCCCAATAGAATATTAATATAAGTTACTAAATTAATCAAGTAAAATATTATGCAGCCAAAACATCACATAAATAAAAAATAATTAGAAGGAAAACAATGATGCTGAAAAGTAGAAAAGGGAAATAAAAGAAAGGACTAATCATGAGTTAGAAGAATATCAATGAAATACATTGGATTGGAGATGAAGATAACAGCTGAACAAACAATAACAATAACAATGCTCCCAGGAGCACAATCTGCCATGACTTACTTTTTTGCTCGGTTGAGTTTGATTATTTGATTGACTTGGATGAGTTGATTGGCTCCTTCGCAGCCAGATGCCACCAAAAGACATCAATGTTCCCAAGAGCAAGACTGAGCCAATCCTTGGATATCCCAGGCGATTGTGGACTCCATTCATGATGCTACCAATTCTCTGTTTCATTCCTGTCCCTTTGGATAGAATGGTTTTGGCACCTACTGACCAAATAGGATCTGCATCTTCGGGAACAAGTGCAGGAGTTTTTGCTCTCTGCAATGAGACAAAACAGAAAAGGTTTAAGGCGGCAACATCTTGTATGAAAGAGATGCAACTCTAAGCTCCAGAGTGTATACATCCTTAAAAAAACCACAAAGTTTAATGAGTATCAATCTAAGAAGCATAGACACTTCTAAGAACGTAATGTGCCGTGTCCGACACTCGTCGAATACCTATGTAGCACTAGTGTGAGTATGGATACTGGTACGAGTACGCTAATACGGCAAAACCTTTCCAAAAAAAAAAAGGATATGGGTATGGTTGGGGTACGGTTGTGGTACGTCAATAAATTTTTTATTTTTCATAGTTTATTATTTGAGATTCAATCTACAAATCAAAGTTCAATACTAAAATTAAAACGAAAATTACAAAACCAAAAGAGAATTCACAGTTCAACAATACCAATATCAAAGCAAAGTCCATATTGCTATTTTAACGCCATTAAATAGGAAAAATTACAAAAACTAAGTTTCATTCCAAAAGCAAACTAGAAAAATTTGGAAAGTTGAAAAATCAATTCTCACTTACATCAACGTCATTATTGAACAATACATCTTTCATCTTTGACACATCAAGTAAAAGATTTGCAATTTCAAGTAAATCATAAATCTCTAATAAATTAAATGTATCACTATCAATGTCCCATAGCTTGGTGTACCCCCGATGCACCCATCACGTACCTACGAAGTACCCACCTGCTAAAAAATGTATAAAAACTACCCGGTACGTATTTCATGTACCCGATACGTGTGCAACCCTAATGGTACGCGTACCAGTACCCGTTATGAGTATGGCAATATTTTCGGAGTACCCGTGCTTCATAGCTGGACACTTTCCAACACTTATACATGAAACATATTACGAGTTTGAATAAATAACTTGGAATCCAATGATACAACAAAAATTAAGTAAATTTATACCTATTCTCCTCCTTTATACTTCAAAAATGAATATATTTTACTTAAATATTTATATATAAGACATAATAATTATTTATCCTTATATATGACATATATTTGATAAATACATGAATAAATTATATATTTTGCAGAAGTCCTCAACGTGTCGTCTCCTATATTTTTTGAAAATTTACATGTCGGTGTATCGGTGTGTCAATGTCATGTCACATGTTCGTGCTTCTTAGGTATCAATAATGGAGTGAAGGTAATTAAACCCCTCAGCAAAATGCACAAATTCATCCATTCAAGCACCAAAAGGAAGCTTAATTCTAAAAAAAGTTTGTCTATGGTAACTTACAAAAAGGGGAGCTCCCTAGAGTCACCATCTTCAATTATTTGAGAGATCCACTTGATGATCTGCCAACCAAATAAATATAAACTCAACGTGAAAAGGTACACTAAATCACAAAGAATGTTGCATTTGCGTTAACTGCTCAATACAGAGTGAAATATATATCAATAATTAAACCATGTAAAATCCATCTCACAACAGATAGAAGGCCAAACCTCTAAACTTTCTTCGGAACTATTGTACCTCGCAACAAGTTGTGATGCAGGATCCACATCGTCATTCAGAAATGCCTCCAACATGTTTTTTGGTTTTTTTTCCTCATTTAATACTATCTTCTGTAGCATTCCTTTTGTGTGTACAATAATTAACTCTGGTATATTTGTTATATCCCTCCTAGGTCCACATGTTTCATAGCTGTTCTCTATTTGAGTGTGGAAAAAACAATATCGCTGGAGAAGAAGAGAAATTTAGTGACTAATACAGTTGCAAAAGATCATTTGTTAAATGTTTCAGCGTAGACTAGTCCATCATGACCATTATTAATTAAAATATTATAATCCATAATAGTAAGCACACATACTACTACATAAAAAAGAAAAAAAACCTACAAATGGTTCTAGGAATAACAGTGGAGAGATGGAAAGATCATTCCTTCAACTGAATAAAGCAGAAGCAAACAACCTCTAATCATATGTACCATGCAGCTGCAATGACGTCTTACACAATTGCTATTGGAGTTTATGAATAATTTTCACCTTTGCAATACATGCCTCATATACGCAACCTGGTGAACTTTAGTTTATTTTAATTATATAACACCTTCTGTGAGAGGAATCACATTTTGTTTCTTACACTGCATAGCTTGACCTACAGAATAGTATTATTTGTATAGCTGAAGAGGAATCACATTCTTTGTACATATGGCTTGATTATAGAAATTCATTCTATGTACTTCCTACAGTTCTTTGTATTTCATTCTTTGAGATGAATCACATTTCCCTGTACATATAGCTCGATCCACAGAATAGAATCAACCAACAAATGATGAATACTTTTAATTGGCCATGTCTCACATGGAAAACAATTGGTGTGTACATGCTTTGCACTAGACAGGCCATGGCTAAATATGTATATACCAAAGGCTTTAAATGTGAATGCGCAAGTCTCAAGGCATCAACACATGCATTTCAAATTTCAAATTTTTATATTTAGTAAGAAAAAGTTATTTAAAACTAAATAAAAAAACAACGCCCAATTAGTATACATTAATTTTAATTTTATTCAAAATTAAATATAAATTTATAAATACTTTTCTCCTCAAGGCATTGAACATTTCATTACAGAATAGGAAACTTGCCCTCATCAAAAATGAACTTGACATTCTTAGTTTCAGCTATTGAACTTCTTACTTGAGTCTTTGCTTCATACTTTTCTTGGTTTTTTCCTTGGAATATGATGGCTAAAGAAGATGTTCTTATTTTTTATGTTTAAATATAAACTAGGTATTAGAAAATAATAAAAAATAAAAACTAGGTATTATAGGCGGTGTTTGGGAAGTTTGTGTTTTGGTTTTTTTTGTTTTTTTTTTTCACTAAAAGACAAATTAGTTACAAAACCAAAAAAAACCAATCTAAACAAAATATCACATCAAACCCCATAATTATTTCACTTTTTCTCTCACAAACATCATCCAATTACAAAAAAACGCAAATATCTTCCCAAACACAAAATAAAATTTCTCCAATAATATCCTACAACTACAAAAACCTACAAAAAAAACCCACTTCCCAAACACACACATAATAAGCTTAACAACAACCCAAGACAAGCTCTCCAAATACGTATTGTTACATGGGATTGAGGTACGAGTATCGGGTACAGGTGTATATCCAAGTGTCAGACCTTCATAAATTTAAATCTTGGGATACATATCCAAAATTAGATATGGGTACTGGAACACGTTATATGCACATATATATTATATTTTATATAATATTCTCGGATGAGATGTGGTAAATTATGTAGAAATATACTATAAATTAAATAAGATATAGGAAAAATATGAAATTTCTATATCTAAATCACGTGAGAGGCTAAAAATATTACTTTACTAACAAATGTGAGTTTCTTCTTCTTCTTCATGTATTGTCACAAATTAAAGCATCTGAGTGCCTAAATTGGGTACAAGTATCGGACACATATCTCACACCCTTACCAATGTCATATCCAATGGACACGGGTACTGTGGGGAAAATAGAAGAGTCCATGTAACACAGCTCCTCATATTTATGTGCAAAAGGAGTACAAGGTGCAAATGTGTTGCACACCTCAAACTGTGATGTGCAAGTCTTTGGAGAGTTTCGCCCAAAAAAAATAAAAAAAAACACAATGCATTTTACCTTAGCCTCGCCTCGAAGCTAGCCTCAATACATCTTTTAAATACACAATATATTTGTATAAACATGACATATTGTAGGATTTGTGGCTCAAATCATACAATAACTTTTTAAGATTAATAACACATATTTTGAAAGATTATTAAAAAGTACCATAATTTTTTTTTTTTTTAACGAAAGGAAAAGAAGAGCCATAACAATGAGAATTACATCCTAAAATTCCAAATCAGTGACAGGCCTCTATAATCTTCTCGAAAAACCATATTCAGATGTCAAAAGGTTTATGAATGCAATCAGACTCTTGGACATTTCCAAAAGTTTCAAGTAGAAATTCTCAGCTACTTACGGCACGAGAGTATAGCGCATAAGGAAGTTGTGACGATGTTTTTTGATACCCTTGATTTTCAGGCCAAAGGTCACATGTGGTTTTAGCATTTAATGTTTCAGAATTTATCCTGCTATTAGATTGAATGATTTGTAATGTAAATAATTTCACATCATTTTATGGCAGTATAACACTGTCAGAATTTATGACAGCAATAATCACTGACCACCTTTTCCAACTTAGGCCACCATTTGGATTAAGATACTGGCACTTTGGCAAAATCTTCCAATGCCAATAGTGATCCCAACTAAGTTTGACAAAGAGAATAAATTTCAGAATAAATTGCTACCAAGTACCATACATACAGCATCACATACATGACCCTCAAATTAATTAATCCATTCACTACTACAAATGTGAATTCAACTACAACTAAACTTGGAAAACATTGGCATGCCAGACAAACAAAAGATGACACTTACTTGTTGGGCTTCCCCATCAAGCCAGGTAAATGTCAACCGCTTTTCCTTCAGTGCAACAGCTGCTAGTGACGACAGCTGATCGTTATCAACTGTGGACAGTGCTTCTAGGATCCTGTGCAGAGTCTTTATCATAGTAATGTACTTCATTTAGTAAACTAGAAGAATATACTAGCATTTGGGCATGCATACATGAATCTTTCTGTTATATTCAACATCAAATTTTGAATGAGTACACTTTGTGTGTCATTACTTCAAATGAACATCAGGGTCTTTGCCAGGATTCAACAAATAAAGTTCTTTCACATTCTGTGTTTTCTTTCTAACCACTTTCTCTACTATTTTCCTCAAGTTACCTTTTCTATTCTTTCTTAGGTAGTTGTCTATTTTAATTTATGAAGATTTGTCTTCAAAGTTTAGAAAAATCAGCTGGCATCACTAGACAATGATTTCCCAACGAAGTAGCTAAATCATTTCTAGGAAATAACTACCAAGTGGGGATTTAATTTAACATAACAAGCAGGACAAACAAACTCACTGCACGCATTTTGTTGAGTTCTGGGCTTGATCTTCCTGCTAGAATAACACAGTACCAAATTGCCGTTTCATTTCCAGCACGAGAATAGCCACAGGCATCACAACCCAGCTCCATGGACGTTACACTTCTCAATTGTGGAAGCTCTAAAAATAAGGAACGGAGAATAAACCAATGTATTACAGTTAGTTTCACAAAATCTTAGAATGCATAATCGGGTTTGTGTTATACATGTATATGTAAATATATCCCAATAAAAAACAACTCCTATCCATCAATATATTCAAAATTGTCAAAAAAATTCAAAAAAGGATTCAATGAAGGCTCAACACCCCTCAAGATCCAATTGTAGAAGATGGTTAGAATTCTACTCTTTAAAACAAAAATGAAAGCCTTAAGACTCTTAACACCATCAAAACTTCTTCTATTAAGCTCCATCCAGATGCTCCAAAATAAAATGGGAGGTCCTAGCTGCCAATTGCCTCTTTTTTCTCTTTTCAACTCTGGCTACCCTCCAAGAAAGCAAAAGGTCCCAAACATTTGAAAGGAAGACCCAAGCCACGTCAAACAAGTCTAAAATAAGGCACAAAAGTCCCAAAAGATTTGATCCCTCTCCCTCCTCACATATCACTAACAACAACCCCTCTATCAATTGCTATCTGTCTCGAGCTAGACAGGCCAGCTCCAAATTCCTTCCACAACAAAGATGTCACCAAATGGGGTTGTTTGGCATCCCCTACAATAGCATATTTTTTTTTTATTTTATTTTTATCTTTTTTAGGTCACATCACCTCTCTACGTTTTTGCACATCTCAAAGGCTATATGACAAATTAAATTTAATAAATTCAAATCATTTTTTACTACAACATCACATGTCAATTTAGATCTTCCCCTCCTAACGTTTTCATTTATGGTGATCATATCACTTTTACTTACTGTTGCATCTACAAGTCTTTGTCGCACATAACAACCATCTTTTTCAGCGCAAGGCTACCACCTTTTTTAAAATAGAAAATAAATATATATATCAAACTCAACCTAAAATTAGTTCATCCAAAAAACCAACAAGGAATTCCCTAAAACAATCGCAAAACTCCAATTAATTAAATAATCACTAAAACAATCACCCACTTTTTAATTCATGCACTCCAACCTCAAAATTTTTATGACACCACTACATTCAAATACAACACAATATGCACAACGTTAAGGTTCAAACATTCACAATTGCGGATCAAAAACCCTAATATTTGCACTGAGGTTCATTAACATTTCTACCTTTTTTACTTGTGCTCCCTCCCTCCCTGGGAACATGTTTTAAGCCAATCCAAAAATGTCAATATTTCTGCTAACAAATCTGTGACTTTCTCATTGTTTTAACTAGTATATTCATTTTCAAACTTTTTTATGGTATATTGTAGCATTATTATTATTTTTTTATTTAAGGAAGCTAACATATTCTGACAAAAGCCAAGTATTTACATATATGTAAAGGGATATAAGCAACACAAAACTGACTCCTTTGCAACCCTATGTCAGAATGCAGATTGGAAATTTTGACGAGACTATCTTGTGTTTTGCTCTTTCCTTTTATTTATCGTTTATCATTCATGTTTTTATAGTTTAATATATTAAAAAGGTTGTATTTATGCCTTGCTTCATGGGAACAAAGAATGCTTTGTCTAATCTCTCGTCCATGATAACCATAATCTCAACATAGAACAACTTACGAGCATTTAGTAGATCGCAGAAGTAAACTAAACCAGCTAAAGGATATCTATAATAATATTTGTATAATAGCATAGCCCATTGGAACCAATAAACACAACCTAGTCTGTTTCCCAGTAACTCTCAAATGCAGACATAAGACGATCCCTCACAAGTAACTTTGCAGAATGGACGCATTGTTGAGTCATTTATTCTACTATGTGGAAAAAATGGTGGATACTCTGCAGGCTTGTACTCTCGTAAAATCTAAAGAAAAAGGATTACTTTATAAGGAGGGCCACATTTGACAAAATATTCTACCATAAATTTACACAATACGGAAAAAAGGTTGCAACACAACATCCTATCAAATGAAAACAAAATCATAACCTGACAAGTTCTGTACAATTCAATTCATGTGAAGGAAATTATCAAGGAAGATTTCTACATAGGAAAACACGTACCGAGGAAACACTTCATAGTCAGATTAGCTGATCCAATGTTTCAAGAACAGAGAAATGATTGGTACAGTTCCCAGGAAAAAATATCAAAATATAATCTAGATTTTTTCCCCTTTTGCTGAAGAAAATAACTACATAAAGGACTCTAGTCAGTGGATAAAAAGACTGATGACCGCAAGAACCTCCAAATAATCATGAAGCTAACAGTTTGCACTTGTCAATCACATGAGGTTTACTTGCACATTAGACTCACTGTAACAAGCCATTTACACAATGGTTGCACTCACTCAAGTAATATGACGGGGACAATTTTGTTAGTGTCAAGGCCCTAGATTATAAAACTTGATAAAGTACAAACAAACAGCATTACCTTGATGTTTATTCTGTTCCATTATATCTACAAACCATGAATTGTTGGCAGGTCCTGCAGATAATGTGCACTGCTTAGCTTGTTATGTACACATTATTTATGTTAACTTGCTATGTACACATTATTTATGTTACAAAGAGTACCAAGAAATACTATGAAACGAAATAAAAAGAGAGTGACATACCATGGTACACAACAGGTTTAACACCATGTTCTTTTAAAAATACAATTGCAGGTGCAGATTCCACTCCAAACCTGTTGTTGATAATAAGAACACTATCAAGATCATACTCTATTTTGGGAAAAAAATTATGAAGCACCACATTTTTGAAGGTGGCGTTTCACGATCAAGTTTCCAAAGATTGGAAGGGGAAAGGGAACCAAAATTAGTCTCCCAAAAAAAAAGTACAATCCAGTATGCTGGTTAGAGTAACCAATCTTTCCAACCCATAAGCCCATTAGCCTGATCCATAATTGATGAAAAAGACAAAAAAAGAACAGTTGATTCTTCTCTAAACTATATAATAAGGAACAAAAAAAATAGATGCCTTCCAGAAAAAAGGAACAAACAAGTAGAAAAAGAAAAAGAAAATTTCAGAAAAGACATGACGATTAAATATGAAATGTAGTGTTGTCAGAATCGTTATGAAAAATATATGTATTGCGGATTCATATGTTGGTAGATTGAATCGTGAGATACGTTTTGCATTGTATCAATTTCTTATTGTATCACAATTTAACATGTATTCTTGATTAGCTATCAATACCTTCTCTTTCACCTTTAGACCTATTAACAGCATTTCGAAATGTCAATTGCCATTGCCCGCACTCGTTGAACAATCCAAAACCATATTATCAAAAAACCCCATACCAAGGAGACCCAAATCCAAATAAACCCTAAAGCAAAAATGACTCTCATACTCCCTTTGTTACAAAAAATATTGGACAACTATCATGAATCTAATTCAGGTGAAAGAAACAAAGAGCTTACACACACAGACCATTTGGAATTGGGTTGAGACCCAAGATTTGGGCCAAAAGGCTTGTTTGGACTATGACCATATACCTCATAACAAGTATGTTTAAGCTATACTCATCATCCAACTCCTAAAGAAAGTCTTTGGCTGCAAACTGGGAACCAAACGAACTAGCGACCAAGAAGTTGGGCTCAATTGAAAAACAAAAATCTTGTATTATTTCTATATTTGCAATGAAATCTCATTGATCCTTTTGTTTTATTAAATTTTGAATTTTCTTTCCAATTTATTATTAGTTGGATATTTGGGTTTCTAATGAATGCATATTTACCTTTTTGTCGAATTTGTAAGCTTTTAGAGATTATTTTTCATGTCGTTGGTTATATGCTTTAGTACTTCATTTTTTCAATATATTTATGTATCATATGAAAGTACTTTTTATTTATTTATCTGTGTGGGTATCTATATCATGCTTGGCACGTGGCGATCCCTACGGGCGTCACGTCATCACCATCACACATTCACGTGCCAAACCCCTGAGGCATCACGGTGAGTTTGGGTTGTATGCCTAGCCTAAGCGCGGGCATGCACACTACCAAGTATGAAAACAAGACCACAGCTCACCTAGAGCTCTCCATGGCCCTTCATGACTCATAAGAAATATGTTCTCTATACACTCACCCCAACTCCATAACAACATAGTGGACCCTTGACTCACCTATGCTTGCTTAGGTGTTCAGGATGAGCCTTTGGCTCACCCATGCACTCACCCCTTTTGCTGCCTAGGTTGGGAGCAGGACCTAAGCACTCCCACCTGGGATCATTGGAGGATCGTGGATTGGAGGCTAAGACCTCGAGATCATCAAGGTCGTGTAACTGTCTTCCTGCAATGACAATTCCACCTTGACCTAGCTTAGAGAAAAGGGACGTTAACCTTACACCCAATGACCTGAATCATAATACACAGCTAGTAGGGCTGATATCACCCTCCTGTCGAGTTGAGAACTCTTGAGGTTGCTTAGGCTCCAATACTCCTGGAGTCTATATAATGGCATCATAAGTGCAGCCACAATCATAACAAGAGCAACAAGAATCATACAACATATACAAAGTGTTCAAGGTCTCTCACTGCCACCACTTTCCTCTCTAAGCCTGCCTTGGTCTTCTCCTCTTCCACCTTCGATGATCTCGGGCCATTGAAGTGTTTGCCATCTTCCCAGAGGTCAACGACCGATCGCCTCTAACTTCTCTTACCCCCAATCTATAGTCATATATGTTAATGTATTTTATTATATGTGATAAGACCTGAGACATGATGCACAATGCACAAAAGTGATATAACAATACATGATATGTATTCAACAACACTGATGAAAATAATTTTCCTCACTTGATTTTCATCTAAAAACTTACTCTGTAATTTAATAGTCAAAAGAAAAATAGAAGAAACAAATATGCTTGGAGGTTGATTTCATAATCTTCACACAGAAATTTAAGGAAATGACAACAAAAGCATGAAATGATACAGAACATTTGTGATCCTAATTGAGATTACAAAACAGAAGAATGAAATGAAAATTTTAAAAGTTTGCATAAGATTTTTCAAACGATTTGAAATATGAATAATCAGACCTTGACAGCTTTAAAGCTGTGTAGCATGGACTCTGGTAGATATATTGGACCTAACTATCAAGCCTCTTCCAGAACCCCAAATCTTATGGTGGGACTTGGCTCAAAATACATACAAGGGCTGGGTAGTGCTACAGGGAAACATCCTGAGCATTCAAATGCCTAATATTTCATATAACACTGAAATGAAAATTGTTATCCCCTTTAAGGATACAACTGCATAGTGAAATTTAGAAAGATGTCGTTGAAAGAAAAAGTTCGTGGAAGTCTTTCCATGTGAGCAAGAAAAACTTTTTCACTATCACATTTGAGCTCGTCATTCTTCTTCCATCATAACATAAGTAGGATTTTGTTTGTTCACACATAACACTTTGTTATTGTCATGGGTAACATGACGACAGACGTTTTCTACCCCCTACTACTGCAATAAATAAAGAAATTTGATAAGTAAACTTATCCAAGATATAACAGCTTTCCAAATCAAAGTAGAAGTTAACATGAAGTAGATAGTTGTGACTGCAAAAAAATCTGGTTTTGCTGCAAAAAGAATTCCCCATTTACCATCAATCCTTCAAGCCAATATAAGAAAGAATAATGATAGCTGCTTCTGTTCAATGAAGCAAGGAATAATTTAAAATAGTTCTGATACTATTCTAAGATTTATTGCTGGTTAAATGACAAGATAATTTGGGGATTAGTCGGGCTTTGATCCGGACAACCCGGTGCCAATCAAAAAAAAAAAGACAAGATTATTCACAAAACTAGGAAATTATTCCGAAGGAAGCTTGTAAGAACATTTAAGATATTAATCTTTCCTTTTCTTTTTTTTTTTTAAAATAAAAAGGAAGGGGGGAAAAAAAAGCATTCCTATATGTTCTCCCAAAAAAGAAAAGAAAGAAAATACACGTACACATTCCACCAAAGGAAGATTCCTCTTCTCGTCATGGCACAAATGCGAAAGCAGCATATGGCATAATTTAGGGCAGCTTGACGCATGAATGGAGCTGCACGCTCCCTGTTTCTGAGAAGAAAATGACTTTCACCTGTTATCCAGAATTGAAAAATCAATTGAGAATGATAATAGATATTAAAAAAAAAAAAAAAAACCCATGATATTGAAACCAAACAGTGCAAGAATGAGCGTGGCAGTGTCATCAAAGAAGGAACACATGCTGACATATCATCCTGTTGTAAAGTATCAATTTGGATGGGTAGCACAGTCAGCTAAAATAAAATATATAACTTGGATCTCACGGAAAGAAATAGAAGAACTAAAGACATGATTACGCGTAGCATTCTTCCTCTTATTTGTTTCAAGGGTCCATAAGAAGATTGCAGGATCATAATTTTTGGTCAAGTAGTAACTGTTAAATAGTTTTATTGGTGTGACAATAAATTATAATCAAAATTATCAAAGTGAAAAATAATACTAACTAGTACACAGTAAGTAAAATAGACTGATTAGCAATATATGGGAACTGAAAATAATTTGTAACTAATGAGGACTGCTTTTTCCCACAAGCTGAAATAAATATATAATTCCATATCAGTTCCAATAAAAAGGCCATTAAAAAACATGAAAGCAAGAGAAACTTTATTATCTCCAATGCAAGCTGGTTTCAGTTAAAAGTACTATGCAAAATGACAAAAGGAATATCAAAAGTCATTAGTGATTTATGTCAGGTAAGCATGCAGCTTGACAATTGAGAAGTAGGAAGGACTAAACTAGGTAAAACTCTAATGTTTGCCATCATTCACACAGAGATGCAGTCTTCACAGCTGAACTGATTTTTTCAAACTTGCATGCCAACCTTTTACAATTGCCCCAATTAATGGCTTCGTGTGCATGGTAAATTCAGCATACATGAAAAAGAGGAGGATCAATTACTCCTCTTTTTTTCTTTCTTTTTTTCTCGAGGAAAGGGCGGAATCAAACCATAACCTCCTAATGATGTAAACCGGTTCTTGCCACAGCCTAACTCCAGTGGTTAAAGATAAATTACGTTGTCCACCCCAAAGGTTTGGCTTCAATACACTTGCTACCCTATGGTATTAATAATTACAGTGACTTCCTCTATTTGGGAAATCATGTAATAAATTTCCTCCTGTTGCTAACTGACCATTGGTGATAAAAATGAAATATGATGACATCATATTTTGAAATTTCGAAATGCCTACTTTACCATTGATATAAGTTATAACTAGCCCAAATGGTGACATGTGTCACTCTAAGCCAGATCATCCATCGCCACCACTTCTCTCTCTACATATACATTAATTGGACACAGCAACCCCATTACCATTGTCAAAGGTGGAGGTACTCATTATGGCTCATATTATGGTGGATCTATCGAAAATCAAAGAGAGATAAAAGATGGAGGGAAAGAG